GTCACATCCTACTCAATAAACTTTGCTTCAAACCACGAATGCATGTCATGATAAGATTTATTAGCAATAACTTTCCAAAACCACAAAAGTTTATGCCTATAAAAATGTAATGTTTAGACAGAACATGTTTCTTCAAATATGAAAGACCAGGAAAACCAGTGATGAAAATATGTGGTAATGAAACACCTTTGGTGTTTGGAAAAATGAACTACTGTAAGTCTACAAATTTCCGCGGTATATTTAGATTCGCGGCATTCGCGGGGACCTTTGTACCGCGAATCTATTTCCCCGCGAATATGTTTTGCGTAAGTGCGCCCCCCTCCCCACATGCATTCACGACGGTAAGCGAAACACAAACACACGCGATTCACAAATCACTGCAAATCAACTTTATTCTTAGCAAATGTTGAGTACCAAAATTTTTTTAAGTTATACTGATGTCAAAAAATTATAATATTATGAGACACCGAATCGCGATACTGCGGCACTGGCCGTGTCAACCGTGTACCGCCGAAAAAAATCTATGCGTGCAGAGCGCGGCCATGCGCGCCCGCGCGCTTGAAAATTGCGGGAACATCGGGCATATCTACAAGTATTTTTATGAAAAATATAACGGCTGGTACCTGGGAAATGTTAGTTGGTTATCTTTTTCGCCCTGCTTTGCGGGCGTTTTTTTCTTCTTCTTGTTTTGCTGGATAGAAACGCTCACCGCGCCGTGGGCCTACAAAGCCGAATGTGACCTTTGCATACTTCCGGGTTCAAAATCTCGCCGAAGACGGCATAAATTTGCTTAGTAATATATATATTCTTTCGATTATGCATTTCTTAACTAGAGTATCGATGTGTAGTCGTAGAAAATAGCATTTTAGCGCTTATTTCCGAACAAAGAAAATTGTTTACACGTGCGTCAGATCGATCGTCAGCTTTACCACCGGCAGTCTCGCGCGGTGCACGAAACACATTTTTGCGCCGCGGAGATAAATGCCGGAACACGAACTTTTATTATTTTAAATATACACTTTACAAATTTTTCTTTGAAAAATAGCCAAGGAGAAATCGCGAATCTAAAAATACCGCGGATTGTCCATTTTCCCGAAACCGCGAACTTTAGGCCCCGCGAATCTAAAGAGACTTACAGTATTTCGGGCCCTGGATGAATATACAATTTGTTACAATGCCTAAACGAAAAACATGCTTGAGTTTGCCCTTACCTGAACCATGTAAGTTCCTGGCAGCAATGTCAGTTTGGGAACTGTCAGATGTTCTTTGTTTGTGACCAGGTTCCAGAGGCCATAAACGGGGGCAAACGTATTCACAGGGTTTGGAGCTGTGGTTGGTTGGAAGATTGTCCAGGAAAATCCCGTGACAGACATGTCTACACACGACACCAGCCTGGCTTCACCGTGTAGGACAAAGTCTGCCATACGAGACACCGTAAAGGGTTCTGTTAGCCTGAAACATACATCAAACAAGGCAATCAGAGATGGCAGATTTCACCTTACTGCCCAAGCTGCTTTTTGACCCAACCATTGGTACAAAAATATGCAGCCAGGAAACTGCTTTGCAATGCTGCATTGTGTGAGCTGGTATTGCAGAAATACACACAGGCACACACACATAGACACACACAGACAAGCCAAAAAAATCTATTCCATTAAGGTGAAGTTATATCATAAAAAGTAACATAAAGGAGGATGGAAGTACAAGAGTTGTGAGTATAATCTTTGAGTTGTGATTAAAATCTTTCAGAAAACATATCCAGTACATAAAAATCCTAAATGCAGTTCAGATTTAATCTGGAATGAAAAGCCTCACAAAGAAGATGCTAGAAGGACAAATGTCAGAAAATTTCTATACAAAACTGAGTTAGGGCGGAGTTAAATCTGTACCTGTGGATCCCTTCTGTGATTCCTGTCTGAATATCACAGTTTGGAACTGAAGTTGAAACAGGTGGATCCAGCAAGGTGCAGCCTGAGAACTGGGTAGAGCAGGGGGACACTCTTACATCAGAATAACCTGGAATATGAAATAGAATTCATTTTCATTAAAGTTGTTAAAAAAATGCTAAATGAGAAACTAACTAACACTACCATCCCTGGCTGTCCCTAATATTGGATGACATCCACACTAACACTGCCATCCTGTATCTGGTACTGAATGACAATCGCACTAACACTGCCATCCTTGTCCCTGGTACTGAATGACATTCACACTAACACTGCCATCCCTGTCCCTGGTGCTGAATGACATTCACACTAACACTGCCATCCCTGTCCCTGGTGCAGAATGACATTCACACTAACACTGCCATCCCTGTTCCTGATACTGAATGACATTCACACTAACACTACCATCCCTGTCCCTGGTGCTGAATGTCATTCACATTAACACTGCCATCCCTGTCTCTGGTACTGAATGACATTCACACTAACACTGCCATCCCTGTCTCTGGTGCTGAATGACATTCACACTAACACTGCCATCCCTTCCCCTGGTGCTGAATGACATTCACACTAACACTGCCATTCCTGTCCTTGGTGCTGAATGACATTCACACTAACACTGCCATTCCTGTCCCTGGTGCTGAATGACATTCACACTAACACTGTCATCCCTGTCCTTGGTACTGAATGACATTCACACAAACACTGCCATCCCTGTCCCTGGTGCTGAATGACAATCACACAAACACTGCCATCCCTGTCCCTGGTACTGAATGACAATCACACTAGCACTGCCATCCCTGTCCCTGGTACTGAATGACAATCACACTAACACTGCCATCCCTGTCCCTGGTACTGAATGACATTCACACTAACACTGTCATCCCTGTCCTTGGTGCTGAATGACAATCACACTAACACTGCCATTCCCGTCCTTGGTGCTGAATGACATTCACACTAACACTGCCATTCCCGTCCTTGGTACTGAATGACATTCACACTTACACTGCCATTCCCGTCCTTGGTACTGAATGACATTCACACTAACACTGCCACCCCTGTCTCTGGTGCTGAATGACATTCACAATAACTCTCCCTCCATTCTTGGTACTGAATGGCACTCACATAATGTGCCCATCCCTCCCTCCCTGGTACTGAATTAGATTGTCAGGGCTCGAAATTCGTTTTTGCGAATAGGTGCACTGGTGAACCCAACCTAAAAATTGGTTGCACAAAAAAATTTTTTTAAGTGCACCATAAAAGATCAACTATGTCAGCAAAAACTACTTATGTTTCATTTGTAAAGAAAAGTACTACTTATAACAATGATTTTTTTTTATTTTTCTTACATTTAAAGTTTCATTTTCTTACATTTCTTACATGTTATATTTCTTACTAAATTTTCTTACATTTCTTACATGTTAAGAATATGCTGTATGCTACTATACATTCAACATCTTTACACACAAAAACCTACAAAAATATTTGGGTGCACCCACAGAAAAAAATTGGGTGCACAGCTCCAAATTTAGGTGCACATGCACCCAGTATTTCGAGCCCTGATTATTACTATGGCCTAAGCAGCAGAAAAAATCTGACACACACACACACCTGTTTCACAATGAAGGCCTTCATAACCAGGAGGGCACTGGCACAGGTACCCGTTGAGTCGATCTAAGCACACGGCACCATTTCTGCAGGGGCTGCTCACACACTCGTCAATGTTGTCTTTCAACGTCAATGCCACATATTCATTACAGATCTCTCCATCCCAGTCGGCAGTGCAGGTGCAGTAGTAACCATGGTTGTCGGCCCTGGTACAGGTCACGTTGCAAGGAGTATGGCTGCACATAACTGCACCTTGAAGATAGGAAAATAGATACAAAATAAATCTGGCACCTGGATAAATTCTCATTAAGATTCAGACAATTCCAGATAGCATCCAGTATCATTCATCAGAATGAGAATGCCATAGAGAATAATAGACTTGGTTAAGTTATGTGTATGCGTGTTTGCGTGTGTGCTTGTGTGTGTGTGTGCGTGTGTATGTGTGTGTGTGTGTGTGTGTGTGTGTGTGTGTGTGTGTGTGTGTGCACACATGCATTGTTTGTTTGTTTGTTTGTGTGTATATAGACTAAAGTGCTCCAGGACTTGCATATCTAAGCTAACAGATTTTTGTTGATTAAGGTACCTGTGCTACAAGGGCCTGTAGACATGGTGATATCATCCAGAGCAATGTCTCCGGCAACGTTTTTACCACGGACACCCTCCATCACAACCTGAAGGTGGGAGAGAGGAAGGTACAGTCAGAATATAAACCAACGATTCAAATTAGAAGGGTAACATTTGCAAAGCAAATACATAATGTTTACCTTCACTAGCCAACAAAGTACTACTCTGTTTATTCTTATGCAAACACATTCATGTTCATGTTCATGTATATGGCAAACAGCCCCTCCAGATCTGTCCTGCTACATAATGTAACCCAACAGTCTGCTACAGCACCAGAAGGTGACAGACATCTGGTCCTGGTCATTGACTTTGCTTGGAAAAGAAGAAGAAACCAAGCAAAAACAATGGTTTGCTTCTGCAAAGGTGAACATAATCAGAAGGTGCTCAGATCTGGACGTGAATCCAGATCTTTCTCAAACTTTAGGTGCAAAAGTCTCCTACGGTCCCACCTCATTAAAGAATGATAAATATAATGTTCTGCCACAGATATCAAAGTTTATCTAACCACACCTGGTAAGGACTAGCGCTGTACACGTCTACTTCAGCCTGTATCCACCGGTCTCCCTGTGGGCCTATCCTCTGGAAGGTTGGGACAGTTGGTAGAGCTGAGCCTGTCTGGATGTACACGTTCAGCCTGTTGATGTTCCTACCGTACATGTGGTACCAGAACCGCAGACACATTGTAGATGATGTGGGGTAGACTGTGGGACTGTACAGTCTCAGTCTAGCCTTGTCAGACATTTGAACGCTGGAGGTCTTGATGTAGATGTAGTAGCCAGTTTGGTCTGATGAGGAATATTGACATTACAGTAACTGTTATTCTTAACCTTATAATCCTGACAGTTAAATACAGAATGATATCACTTTTCTCATTTTTCTACTGATAATCATATTGAAGGAATGTAATGGTCGGCACGGAATGTAATGAATTTATTACATGCAATTCAGCCTCCAGGATGCATAATGTTTTAATCAATAAACCAGTCATCAATCAATCATCAATCAGGAATGAATGAATGAAGACACAATTATTGTACAGTCACATATATACCCATTGGGTTAAGTATACAATACATGTACATTTTGTAGATGACAATTGATGTACTAGTAAGCATCAGGGCTCAAAACTAATGGTGTCCTGATGGCCACTGGCCACTAAAAGTTAATCCGGGACACCTGAAAAATCATTTTGGGACAATTTGGGGGCAATAAAAAAAATAATCAACATCAGAATGTCTGCCCTAGGGCAGACATTCTGATGAAGGCCTTCATGCGTTTATCAGGTGCGCAACCCAGCTATCCGGGGCTTACAATGGGGTGTCGATGTCGCAAACAAGTATTTTCTCATTTTGTCATCGCACTATGGCTGTAATAACTGTCTGACGTACCACAGGGTTTGACGGGGCAGTACTGCCAGCGGACGCTAGGGTCCAGGGTGTAGCACCACGGTCTCTTCTCATCGTCAGGGTTACGGCAGTAGTTCTCAGACAGGCCGCCAATGCTGAGGTCCTAAACCAACGAGGGATATTTTTGTTACAGTAATATCTGTGTAAAACCGCCTTTAGGTGTAACACACTAGTTTTGGACATGTGCGTACATGTACAAGCTGCGTAAGACCGGACTGTAAGGTTTTGAACCACTCACACCGGGAAGGTCCCCTACTCTTTTCGATAAGTGCGGTAGGTTCTTTAACGTGCATGGGGTGTGGCTCTCCCAAACACGGGAGCTCCATTTAACGTCCTATCCGAGGGACGTCCCTAACCGAAGCTAGGTACCCATTTCCACCTGAGTGAAGTGAGGAAAGTTGTGTTAAGTGCCTTTCCCAAGGGCACAAGATCTGTGACATGGGCAGGGTTACCGACTGTGCCACATTACCCCACTATCTTCTTCAAATGATTGGCTTTGTCCTTTAAAGTTAACAAAAATCCATTTGACTGTTTTCACCTGTTGGACGAAATTGGTGTCCTGGCATATCATGGCATTACAGATGTTGGAATCATTGGGCTTTGGACACAGAGCATAAAGTGGAGCTACAGAATTCATTAAAAATGCAATCAGAGATGGCAGACTTCACCTCCTTATATGCCGCTTTGCAACCTTTTAGGTCCGACCACAGACAAAAGAAATTATAGCAGCACAGAAGTTGGCTAGAGGTTGGTAAAATGATGTGTATTATGTGTTTTATCATTTCGAAAACACTGACAGGCAGAGACACAAAGATACAGACAGATAGACGGACAAACAATATTTCACTCCCTTAGGGTGAAGAACCCGTACCAGGAACTCATGCTCATGCGGAGTTTGGTCCTCCCAGCGCTGACACACCAGACCATCATCTGTAGTGTTCACATGTCCTCGGTAGGTGGCGCCATTTCCCATGAAACAGTCTGAAACGGCACAATTAATGCATGGAACTCAGTGTTGTTCTTGGACTAGTACTACAGACCAGCCCTAAAATATAGCGTTAAACGTTGTCAAGTTAAGCCCCGGTCGCAAACTAGTAACCGTACAATGAACCTGCAATTAAGGGATATTCATGATGGTGTTTCTCCTATTTTAATATGCACGGCGATATTGTCACGGAAAACAAATAAATGGTAGGTGCACCCTCTTCCACCCTGTTCTGGATTTCTGGGGGAGATCCCTGTAAACTGTCAAGTTGGTTTTCAGTTTATTTCATTGTCAATTGGCTCACACGACAATACAGTAACTGCACTCTGACAAAGCTCCACAGTTGTTATAAAGAATCAATTCATGAAAACCAGGTTGGGACAGTCCATCTTCACTTTGGGACAGTTGGAAATTACTTTTGGGAGAGACAATTCTGGGACAATAGGGGAAAAAGTTAGTTTCGAGGCCTGAAGCATGTTCATCAGTTTAAAGACAAGTCTTCCAAACCACCTGTTATATATGTAAATAGTTGCTGCAAATACAAAAAGCACCTACCCCCTACTGTGTGGTCAAAAGAAGGCCCAGTGAGAAGGGAGCTTGTTGCTCCCCAGTGCCTTGTCCAGTTAAAGTTATCCTGTGTGTTCTGAGTCCACCTGCAGAGGTCCGTCTCAAAGGTACAGTCAATCAAACCTAGAGCACATGGGAGACAGCACTTTGATTCTGATTTTCTTCAGCGTGCCTGCATGTCTGTTTGCTTGTGTTTTTGTTTTATTGTGTATGCATGTGTGTGCATAATTTCAAATTAAAGTATTACCTGTGAGAAATTGTGTAGTACACACACCACAGCTGTGTCTACAGTTCACCAGCATGTACAGTGTACAAAATAGTTTTTTTAACCAGGTTGCCCAGTGGGCAAGCTACGGCAAAAATTAGGCTGCCCATCAGAATTTTAGGTTACCCCACCTATAAGTTACTACTTTCCTCAAATAAAGTAATGTTACATACATAAGCCTTTGACAATATTTGCCCTGGGCAACCAAATTTTACTTGGGGCAACCTATAGTATCAGTTAACTAAAGGCTGTTAAAAATATTGTCAAAGGCTTATGTATGTAACATAATTTGAGGAATTTCAAAGTAGTAACTTATAGCTATATATATAGGTAAAGTAACTTATAGGTGGGGCAACCTAAAATTCTGATGGGAAACCTAATTTTTGCAGTAGGGCAACCTGGTTCAAAAAAGTATTTTGTACACTGTAATAAGCTTTAGTGCACCATGTCTACTAGTGCATGTGATGAACACTATGTTCACTTCATACCATAGATGTAAGTATGGTTGGTGAATGGATCCAAATGACTGGGACATGTAAATTGGCAAATACCCCTGGATGTTTTAATTTTTTTATATATACCTTAAAATTATCCTCCAATATAACTTCTGAATGTCTACTAAAAGTAGCATACAGACTCACTGAATCATCAGTTCAGTTCAGTTCAGGTCATGAATAAAGAATTATTTCAGACATAAAAGCCTACCAGGACAGATGACTCCACTGTTACAGAAGATTGTATCTGAAAGTGGTCCCTCACACATGGCACCATTGTTACTTGGCAGGGGGTTGTCACAGGTTCGGTACCTGGTCTGGAGTCCAATCCCACAGCTCACACTGCAACTGCTAAACTCTGACCATGATGACCAGAAACCATCCACTAAACACAAAAAACAAATGTTACTAGTAATATTTGCAAAGCAAATGCATAATGTTTACCTTCAGACATGGTCTGCCCTGTTAATTTTTACTCAAAACACATTCACATACATGTACTACAAGTATATGGTGACAGGAGTAGAGCAGACCATAAAATTGCAACATTATGTAACCCAACACCAGTCACCATAGTGACAGACGTCAACAAATCATGTCATTGGTCAGGTCAGAGGTTAGTGTTTGGAACAGAAGAGGAGGAAGAAACTGAGTAAAAACAATATGTTTTCCTCTGGTAAACATAACAATTCTATTTTCAATGTTCTAACACACAGCATCAGATGTTCAATCAGTTCTAATTAGGTACTGTATGGAAATTTCATGGCACGTTCTTTGAAACAACATATCACCCCAGAGGGCAGTTTTCAATGTGCCCTGGATCCGGAGACCAAGCCCAAAACATATAAAAATAATAATAATTACAAATAAAGTTAGTGCTGAATGAAGAAACTTAATAATATGTACAATCAGATTGAAGCAAATTAAAATGTAAGTTAATGATAATCAGGAACTTAGGATAACAGAAGACTAAAATTGTCTAAACTAGAATATTGAAACAAATCAATATACGAAGTCAAATAAATGATAACTGAAGGGAGGGATTGGCACATAAATGTACAATTGGCAGACAGTCTTGTTTGTACATTTGTTTGACGCGTGAGAGTGTACGGTGAAATAATGGTAAATTGTTCCATACAATTACCCCAGAGTATAGCTAATTTCTTCAGTTACAAACAAGCTTTCACTACTTTGACATTTTAGATCATTAGGCTGGCTAAAAGGAAATTTCTCACCAGTATAAACACACCTTCAGGCCTCAAAATTAACTGTACATGTTCTTCCTATTGTCCCAGCAGCCAGCACTGTCCCAAAAAATAAATTTCAATTGTCCCAAAGTGAGGGTGAACTGTCCCATCCTATGTTGTTTTTGGAAGTATTGTATGACTTCAAATTGAAGTCAATTTTATTTTGCTTATGTTCACTCCCAGGTGCACTATAATTGCAGAGTAGACAGGAAATTCAGGGATTCCTTTCTGGATACAGGACGTGTGCCTGATAAACAAAAGAAGGGCTGACATTCTGATGTTGATTATTTTTGTATTGTCCCCAAAATGTCGCAAAGTGTCTTTTTAGTTGTCCCAGCCTAAATTTTAGTGGTCAGTGGCCTTTGGACCATCTTTGATTTTGAGCCCTGATCTTCTTATATGGCTGAGCAACCTATCACACCTAACACTTATACCAACTAAAGATATTAACTTTTTCCAGTGGTTTTCTATGATCTGCAAGCTGACTCATAAAAATGCTACAAAATGTACAAACTTCATTAGATGCTCGCTTCAGCACCAAGGACAGACCCAACATGTCCCACATGTAACAATATTCAAAATAAAAGTCCCACAATTATGATTCCCCCCACCCTCTAACATTCATTTTGAATATTGTTACAACATTGTTAGGTCTGTCCTTGGTGCTGAAGTAGGCATCTAACAACTTTGTATCTGCACAAGCATTTTTCAGACCTAGGCCATGTGGATTGGATTAAATGAATGAAATCCACATGTGCATGAATGTTTGTCCAGTTCCAAAATAAGCCTTTGACCATAATGTAAATTGTACAAAGCACCTGCAAAATAGGCAAATATTTGCCATAAATTGCAAAAAAAATATTGGAAAACAATACTAATATAATTATAGAATACAAAATCAATTCCAAAGGAAAGAAGATAATGTGAAGAAACAAAAGTGAAGAGGCTATTCTGATACCTTTTTGTACTGTGTTTAGTTTATTGTCGCACCTTCAGGAACAAATACATGTACACGTGTACCACTAGATTTCATATTGAAGGCAACTTTTTTTGCCAAACTTTTATTTGCATGCTGGGGTTCCCAGAAGATGATTGTCATCCATGTTATCAAATTAACATTGCCCTATCTAGAAATCCTTTAAGGATGCCCCAACTGTACTTGGCAACGTGTCCCAACTGTACTTGGCAACGAGTCCCACTCTACAAAAGTTGGAGAAATTTCATCTATATGGTATGTTCTAAAGTCTCCCAAAGAATAGGTTTGTTGAGGCGCCTTAGGTTCTGCTTAAATGTCAACATTGCTAGCATGTTATACACTCTTTGATTCTACCACTGTTTGATTATTGTGACACTGTGTGGGATAACTGTAGCACCACCAAACAGCGGCAACTACAAGTCCTCCAAAATAGAGCTGCCAGGGTCGTCCTACGGATGCAACAAAGATCCAGTGTCCAGGACCTGCACACCAGACTCAACTGGAAATATCTAGATCTGACTCAATGGAGAAAGGACCACATTTGTGTCATGGTTTTTAATTGTATCAACGGGCTTGTCCCAACATACTTGGATGCCACATTTGTACATAACCACCGACTACACAACTACAACACCAGACAGACCTCACTACTGCACAAACCTAGAATAACACAACTACAGCTGGTCAACGCACATTTGCTTTCCGAGGCACGACACACTTCAACACACTTCCAGCAGACCTAAGACATGTATCTACACTATCTCAGTTCAAAGCAGGCTTGAAACATATGTCATATGAAACCTGACCTCTGACCGCCATTCCTGATTTTCGTGTTTTTTTTTACCTTTGAACAGCTAGGACTTTGAGTATAGGACTATGACTGTTTTGACGCATCAGACTTTTATGTTTACTGTTATGTTGTCCACTCTTGTCTTACTGTATGTAACAATGTCTTGTGTAATTTTGCTGGGCCCCCTTGGAAAACAGCTAATGCAAGCTGAATGGGGCTACCCAGCCGTCTTATGAAAATATGATGAAATAAATAAATCTAACAATACTGACCTGGAGGCACACAGTTTATATCCGTTTCTCCGACAGCCTTACACGTGCAGATGGAACAAGCGGTGTGATTTGACCTCTCGCCTAGCTGGCAGGTACACACGCCACTGGATGTACCGGTTGGACACGACGGCTCGGTGCCAAAGACAGCAGCAACAAGCCAGGCTACTGTAGATGGACAGAAAATCCCTGATCATTGATTGGTCACCATGAGTGACCAGGGCCACCTTGGGCACATCATTGGTATCATTAGCTATAGGCCACACCAATCTAATTTCTTGGTTAACGGGTTTTTCTAGAAAAATAATGGAGCGGGCAGGCGAAAAAAAATAAAAATAAAAACAGGCCTAGGCATCCTATTATGGCCCAAAATGGTACGATAACGTCAACACACCAGGCTGGTTCAAAATCTAAACAATGAATTTTGAACTTTTAATGATACCATTGCATTGAAAGATGGAATAACATAACAACTAGGATGAAAAGTACTGTTTTCAACTGTCCAGGGCAAAATATGAGCATTTTGCAGTTGATTTTTATTTTTATTTGCAAATCAGAAAAAAATTAAGCAGGCAAATCTGTTAACCAAGAAATTAAATTGGTGTGGCCTAAGTAGATGGTATTTTCTCAGAAAACATCTTCATTATTAGTAAATGTGTAGTTAGCTAAATCTTAGCATCTCTAAGATATATTTTATTAATGTGGAGTTCTTTTGCGTTGATTAACAACAGGTTGAAATAAAACCTTGCCAAAGGATAGGACATTTACATCACAACTAATTCTCAACCCAAGTAAACGTATTATGTTATTTGAGTTGAAAAAAGCAGAAATCAAAATTATAACCTTATTTTCATAGTCAATGTGGAAAATCCATGAAACACATTTACAAAAGCTTTAAATACATGTACATAAAGGTACATGTACACAAACACAAACATTTCCAAAAGCTGTAAAATTAATACGTTACACATGCATAGAGGTAACATGTACAAAGTCTCGGAATTCTTGTTTGAGACAGATTGTCATGCACAGCACTGTGAAAATC